AGAATTAATCTACCTCCCCTGTTCCACTTTACGCTCTTGCTATCCTTTTAAAACGGCCGCTGTTGCTTCTCAACTCGTCGAACCGTGAAACTCCTACGAAACTCGTCCAACCGCAGCGTTCGCGAGTTTACAAAATAGTAAGTAAAGGCCCTTGCTTTGTTTTACGTTTTTGTCGAGAGCGAGATTTCTCGTTTTCCTCATCCATCCTTGCTAATGAAGCGCTTAAGGCCCCCCCCCCCCGTGCCGTGATGATGCCATTTCACTGTTGACGTTTTTAATTACTTCCATTTCTTCGCGAAATTCATTCCCTAAAAATGTCGTAATTTTAGCTTTAACCCCTTTGCTTCCGTCGTTCCAGTTACAGGCGTGTTTTTTCATTTGTATTATGCGAAGATATATATTTTTAGAGTCACTGAATAGACTGGCGTCCTAGATTATATTTATAATTCAAGATAAATTTTACAATGAAGAGAAAGAGAGCTTTCCGAGAAATTGTGTCGTAATCACGTAGAACTTGCTCGGGAAAAACTCAGAATTTCTTCTAAGAAATATAATCTTTGTAGTTAAAGGATTAATGGCGCAAAAAATATATATATATATCAGCGGAAAGGATCATGTATTCAACAATAAGTCATCTTTTGCTGATGTCGCGCTGTGCTGCGGGGATAATTGTGCGACGCAATATTTAATATCTTTGTTTGAGAAAAGACGCGACGCGATCTAACTTGATGTAACTTTTCGATACAGTAGCTTGACGCAAAATAAAAAAAGAACCGGAAGAGAACGTGCTTGCACCTTCCGACGGATCGAAGACGCTCCGCTTTCACACGCACGGCAGCGGCGGTCGCAAGGGAACGACACGCGGCAGATATAAGCCACTTAGATTTTTGCGAAAGGTTTCGTGTTTCGCGCGATACTTACGGCGAGCACTCTGATATTTTCGGAGCGTTACTGCGACGACATGTTCGCAAAATTTTTTCGCGGTATTGATATTTTCCAATTTTTCGTGAACTGTAAATTAATATCTTTATGTCTAAAAAATATTTTTTAAAATATTGACAAATATTCGTATTATCTTTCGCATTATACAATGTTGTTACTTTTACAAAGCGCACTTTTTAATCAAATAACTTTTAAAATTTATGGTATATGCAAGCTTTTTTTATATGTTTATTCAACGTTATTCATGCGTTATTAATAACGATATTTGATGACACTTCAAATTTATTAGTCGCATTTTGACTTTTATTTCTTTTAAAATTAGTGTCCGCAAAAAATTATTGTTGTGTGTTATTATAAAATTTAAATTTACACTCTCAATCTCTCGAAAATATTTCCCAATAATACCGATGATGACAATTGGTATTCAATTTATTTGATAGATATGCCATAATATTGGTAAAATTAATCAATATCTTTGAAACGATAGCGGTTTTCCGCAACCGCGATGTTATTAAATAACTCATCGCGATTAATATCACGGAACAAAGTGATTTTTATAAAATTGCAACGCGGATAATGAATTTAATATACACCCGACAAATTGCTGTGTGTTTCGGGAGTTACTTATCATTGCTGTAGCGTGAAATAACTATCTCGCTTTTTTTATATTTTTTTTTAACCTACTACATTTGTTATTAAGTACTTTTAATTGTACGTCATGGGATTGTTTTCGATCGAGAGACCCAAGTTGGCTCGCACAACTTCAAGCTTGCGGCAAGATTCTCGCGGTCTTCACATTTTTAAATAGGAATTTTTCTCCCGGCTTTTTCCGGATTTCGCCGAGAAAATTTCGCGCGTGTCTCTCAAGAAGACACGTCCTGAATCCGAAGACACATCGCTCCGTTCGAGTTCTCCACGCGACTGAACAAGCTGAGAGGCCGGGAACATAAGCTACTTGGATTTCAACGAGGAGTGTTGCGTTACTTTCACGAAAAGCGGACGCCTCGACGACATTCTCCGCGTTCTTCGTCTTGTAATCTCTTCAAACGGATTGCTTCCGTAGCTAACAAACACATTCGAGCAAGCGTCACGTTTGTCTTGAGGAACTGAACAAACGAATCTGCTTCGCGAACAAACGCTTTCTCTCTCTTTCTCCTCCCCCCCCTTTTCTTGCTCTTTCGTTTTCACTGTCGCTGTTCGCAGACTTTCTTCGCAAACATAACGGTTTGCCGATGTTGGTAAAACTTGATCTTTATCTCAGTAATATCGCTGTACTTTATGCCTCTTTGAAGAGCGGTTCCGAGATTGTAACGATTGAATGAAACATCGAAAGGATCAAAAGCCTTTTGTACATTACACTTTCCCGTCGTGTTCTGAAATTTCGTAGATTTCTCTTCCTCACCGAGCACTCGCTGTTTCGCTGTTTCCGCGGAGATGCGGTAACGGGAAAATAGTTGAGATGTGACTTTGGGTGACCCCAAGTTTTTACATTTCGGTTGCCATTCGAGACGGTAGCTACCGTCGTGTTGCCGTAACTCGACGCGGAGTTTCATCTCGGAAAATCAAAGGAGAAACCTCCCGAGAAACTTGATTTCTACGATTTAATTATGCTGCAGCTGAAGTGTACTTCAAAGCGAGGTGAAAATTGTTTATCTAAATTTTTAGTTTACTTTACCTATACCGAGACACTTTTTCCGCTTCAATCCGTGCAATTAACTTAGTGCGGTATCCACTGTTAATCATTATTCAACAAATAATAACATTTTTAATTTACTCGCTGTAAGCCGGAGATTTTATTTCCACGTGGAATTTTAAATTAAATTTCCTTATGGTGTGTATTTAATCCCGCCCGAAGAGCAGTATACGTTAACAGAAGCAGGTCAGCACTTCTGCTCGAAAATTTCTAGATCAACGACGCTTCCCGTCGTCGAACTTCTTTCGAGTTAATATGGATGCTAAAACAGAACAAGACTGACAAAAAATACATGACGGTTGAACAAACGAATAGTGGAGAGAGGCGGCCATCAACGAATGATTGGTTTCAGCACCGCGGGCCATTAGCAAACACCTGAAGCTTTTCGCCCCGGTCGGAGTTTCTTCGTCTCGAACTTTTAGCCGAGATAGAAGAACACAGTCGGGGTTAACAAACTCATCCTTTTCCACGCCTGGCTTGACCCGTTCTGCAGTTTTTAAGCGCTTTTTGCCGTTCACGCTCGTCGTGCCGGCTGCAATGCGAAAAACCCGATTAACAGTCGGCGATTGGTATCGGCTGCTTTTTATACTGCATTGTGGAACTTTGCGCGGTATTTCGTCGAGTGCGGAGAATATCGACGGTTCGACTCTGTGATCAGGCATTTCTGAACTTGGCTTCGCTTTGAAGCCAAAGAAAGTCTAATTATTAATTTGAATAATATATCAGTCGATTGTTCGCGAGAGTTTGATAAAAGAACGGATTATTGTATTGGCAAAGAAAGATTTTCTTTCATGCTGCTTTATGTTAAAATAAACGTATAGTCATTAACCTTTTGACGAAGTAAATCTTCACTTTATTAATATTAAATATATTCATGATTAAAAAAAAATTCGAGTGACATCAGAGAAGCTTTCATTATTGCGTAGCCACAAAATACCGCGTTTATAGAGTATCGACATGAGAATAAAAACTCTTTGACGGCTTTTCGTGAAAATTCTCACTTCGCTAAAACCTCGTATAATGTACATAAAAGGGTTTCTCGAAAGTTTTTACGTCACTGGCCTCCAAGAGTATCGTTTTCTCGGAATAAAGTAATCAGCGAGACGAGCGATTGGAGAGGGATGAGGGCGCGGACTGAAAAAATTGATGAGGGACTGTTGCAGGATTTTTACACCACACTGGCAGATCGTTACTTTGAAAAATAGCTCTGCACTTGGAAGAACACTGTGAAACGCGTCTTAAGATCTATTAAATATCTTTAATGGGATGACGATCCCACTGTAAAAACAATAGATTTATTCCATTATTATTTATGTTTACATTTTTATGTTTCATTCTTATTTATTTGCACGTTTTTTCACCGCTGTCGCCTATATTTTTTATACACTCAATTTTCATCTTTCTATATTTCAATCTCTATTTACATGCTTGAAAGATTTATGGAGACAGGGGGAAAAATGTAATGGAGAAAGAAAAAACGGAGAGCGAAATCAACTATTCACGTGCAATGTAACGAATAATAAGATTGCGCGGTAAATTTGCGTTGGAAGACACTGGAAACGAGTGTCATCTTACGTACGCGCGTAACTTTCTCGACGAACGAACCGTGATCATTCCGCCTGTAAATCTCGTAATTCCCATGCATCGATCGAACCATTCCGGCAGGAAGCTCGTCGCAAGGATGTGCTCCCGCGTAATGCAGCAGGAATTTTCGAAGTGGAACTCCCAAAGGGTGTTCTACTAGAGTTCGTTCGTCCGCGACGACCGATGTCTCGTGCAGCGCCCCGGATTTGAATTCCCGTATTCGTACCGGCGAGTTCAGGTCGCTTCAAATTCAGCCCGATAAGCTCGACGGAATTTCCCGGTAATGGGAACCGTGCGACGCTTCGTACGGCGAGAAGAATCGATTTCCTTATGAAAGCGCGGCACGATTGAGATTTTATACGAGGAGTTAATGACGCTACGTGTTTCGGTCAGGCATCGATGACATTCCCATTTTATATCGTGTCTCGCCGGTTAACGCATAATTTATCGCACCGCAATCCAATTCACGCGAATTTTAAATGATTATTCATACTTTATCAAGCTGTTTTCAATTGCACATTTAGATAATTTCTCGTTTTCGATTAATGCCGAATTTATTTCCATATGATGTGACTGCTCATTTTATTGTACTTAATTTGATACTCGACGTCGGTTAATTAATTAACGCTACCGTCTAATTTGCTACCTTCGCTGCTTTTAAAATGATTTAGTTATTCGAAGCTTTCAAATTCCACTCTAGCGTCGTAATATTGTGCGACAAAACTCCATTAGGGTACGACGATAAATAAATCCTATTAACGAGCCTTATTGTTTTTGGCAGAATGCGCGGCCAAGAACGGGAGATCGGTGGTGGAGCACCATCCGCCGTCCTCTTACTGGGAGCAACCCTTTAGTCAGCCTTACTTCGACAACACGACAAAGAGGGAGACCACAACTACCGTTGGGCAATCCGCTTACCTGCACTGCAGGGTGCGCAATCTTGGCGATCGCGCGGTAAGTCCCAAGTTTCCTTATCAAGAACCCGTCGTTGTAATAACAACGCTCGAGTTTCGGAACGTTGCATTTCATGAACGTGGATTAGGATCTCGTGCCCGTTAAGCATCGCGACTTGCGATTTCGATTCCGATGATTATTCTCGCTTTATGGGACATTTAGCGCTTTGTTCGAGAGCAAATGCACATTTTCATTCTTACCGATTGATTTTCCACAAAGTAGGTCATATACATATTATTTTTTAAATAGTTTTTATAGGATTTTTGCTATTTTTTGTGCTTTTTCTTTGCGTAAAGATTATTCTATTGCCCTCAATTTCGTGAAAATTATTCCACTTTAATTAGTTCAATTTTAACAGTAGTATTAGGTCAATATTTTTTATTTATTTCTCCAATAATCGAATAAAACACATTTATGAAGTAAATTAACGTACTGATCGAGAATAAAGAAACTACTGCGGAATTATTTTTTTACGACCTTTGATAATTAAAAATTTTGCAGCTTGGTCAATGTGGCCGGCGCTGAAAAAAAATCAATTAATCGATTAATCCTCTTATTATGTAAATTATGCAAAGCTCGGTGGACGCTTTAACGCTCGATTATGCGTCAAATGCACGAGATTAAATTTGGCGTTGCGAGGGAACTTGGTGAAATAAAAGCAGTGGCAAACAATTTTGTTACGAAGTGAAATTACGCACGCTCGTTCGACTATCGCGCGTAATCTTTGATTATCTTTTTATTTTACGCGACGCGAAGTATATTTCCCCAATTTCCATCGCAATCGAGCTGACATTGATAAATTTTCATACGCGTGCGTGTCAGACTATCGGAATCGCGCGATTCGAAGTGAAATAAATTCGCAGTTACGAGAATACCGTTGGCGAGACATTAATCCGTGATCGTTCGCGACAAACTTCGCTGTTCTCTTTGCTAATGCACTTGCGCGACTTACATTTCGGGCGCGAGTTCATTCTTCATTTACTCACGCGACATCGCCTCGCACTTTTACAGTAACCCAGTTCACACTTTCGCACGCCGGTGCTTTTGTAACTTTTTTCGCGAGCTTTTTTCTTATTTCCGCCTGCAAACTTGCACGATAAGTATAACTCTTCATGGCGTGCATACATTTTCTTGTACATATTTAAAGTGTTGTGAAAGGATATATTAACATATGATCTCGTTAACGTCGAAATATTTCGGGCTATGGAGAAATGGTGTCGTGGAAAATTATTATTATTATTATTAATATAGTTTTATCAGAGAAATGTTCAATCCAAAAATACACATTTAACCGACATGTGTTGAATAATTACATAATTTAATTACGGTGCTGCAGAAAATTAGCGTTCTGTAAAATCCTTTGATGTTATATTACCGAGGGAACGTGAAATAAACTTTTACAACAAAAAAGGAGAGAAAAAAAATAACAAATTCATATATTTTTTCAATTTTCTTTTTTAATTTTCTTTTTAATAAAGTATCCACCCCGCTATCCGTTTAGCCGCAACATTTTACCATTGTTCGTCAGCCATCCGAGGCGATATAATAGTGTATGAATAAAATTTATAAAATGTCAAAGCTAGTGCATTGTACGCGCAAAATATACAATCGCGGTATCAATTTTTCGGGCAGTTTGGTAAATTAGCGGCCGCTTGGGCCGCTGTTTAACCCAGTATTCATCACTCGCGGTCCTAATGCAAAGTAATTTCGCGGGTAAGCGCATAGGTCACCCGAGCGAATGGTGACATTACGCGTTATCGGCCGCTGCTCATGCATCACCGCATGACGCACAGGAACCCGTCAGAGTCCAATCACCGATCGTAATCGCCGATAAATCAAATTTCTCTAGCACCCCTTTCTCCTTCCTGCAAGCCCTTTTAACCTCTCCCCGTGCCCTACCCGTCCGCCATTCATGGCTACGCCATCGGTCCGCAATAACGCGCGTACGCATATGCATCTGGACGTTTATATTCGAGAGTCGACGTGATCGACACAGACCGCGCGATCGCGCTTTATTTAAGACTCGCAGTAATCGTCCTATGACAGTCGGATACGAATAAAAAGTTTCTTTTCTATCGAGGACTAAATTTAGAATAAAATTTTACAATTTTTAAATTTATGTATATTTTTTTTGCATAATTTAGCGATTTCTACTGCTTCGATATTTTCGACAACTTGCAAAATGCAAAAAATGCGTTAAAAATACGCTGTGACACGCATAGAACTTGCGCAAAGTTCTCGATTGCACGCCAATATATTGATATATCTTACCGCCTTGATTACGCAGGTTTCGTGGATCAGGCAACGGGATTTGCATATCCTTACTGTCGGCATCCTAACGTATACGAACGACCAGCGTTTCCAATCGTTGCACAGTGATGGCAGCGACGAGTGGACCCTGAAGATCAGTTCGCCACAAGTGCGAGATAGCGGAATCTACGAGTGTCAAGTCTCGACGGAACCCAAGATCAGTCAAGCTTTCAACTTGAGCGTAGTAGGTGCGTGCATCTTTTTTAATATAATTAATCAGATTCATTCGAAAGTTGCTTAAATCCACTTTCAAACTTCCATTTTCTTCGGCATTTAGAAAAAGCAATTACGATAAACCGATAATGTAATTTAGAATGTGTAAATTGTTTCAAAGTAATAACTAATTTTACAATAAAAACTTTTAGAATTATATCCGCGATTCGCGTTAATGAAAAACAAAGAGACTGAAGGTCTAGGTTGTGTTTTAAAGCGATTACAACTTCCACCGCACTCCAATACCAATTTCCGAAGCCGTTTGTTTCTTAAGTGAATTTTTAAGTGGCCTGTTTCGAGCGATTCAACGCGAGTTAATTGCAGCTTTGCGGCGGTTTAAGGGAAATTGTGATCATACTTCTCGACCCGAGCTTTACTCACCGACCCGACCGAACGGCCAAAAACTACTTTAACTTTGTTCTGTCCCCATGCGCAGTCTCGAAGGCAAAGATCAACGGCAATTCGGAGCTCTACATCAAAAGCGGGAGCGACATCAATCTGACCTGCATCGTGCTGCAAACGCCGGAGCCACCATCCTTCATCTATTGGTGAGTTCGGGCGTTCTCCCTTGACGATAGACCCGATTGAATTTGTTCCACGTGTATTTCGGCATAGCCGAGTTTTGTGAAATCCAAATCTACAGTAGCCTCTATTCAGCAGAATCTGCTTTATCGAAAAATTTCAACGCGAGCGCAGCCCATAAGACGAATCTCCGATAAAGTGAATTTCCGATGGAGTTACTCCTTGAAGTTATGGTCTTCAAGATCCATAGATCCCTCTTTTCGTAAATGCGCTGCTCCGGAAATTTCTTTCCATTTCTGTATTTGCATATTAATACATTACATTACTTACATCGTAATATTCATGCATATTTATTTTTATACTTTATTTAACAACTATAGCATGGAAAACGTATAGAAAAGGTCACAATTTAAAAAATTCTTTTATTTTACATTCTGTACTTATCTCTAATCTCTCAAATTATTTTCGATAATTTTTTTAGGTACAAGGGCGACAACGTGATAAATTATAGCCAACGCGGGGGCATTAGCGTCGTGACGGAAAAGCAAACGCGAACGTCACGTCTTCTGATCAGCAGAGCGCTGCCAGCCGATTCCGGCAATTACACCTGCGCACCATCCACAGCCGAGTCAGCCAGCGTCCTCGTCCATGTGCTCAATGGTGGGTGAGTCCCTAGTGAATCCCTAGTGAATACCCAGCCGAATACTCGTAGTATTATTGCCGAGGCAGGCATCCCAGTGTTTTTCCGTATATCCTTCTCGCAATAATATCGGCAAAATTATTGGCCTTTCACGAAACTTTTTTCGAGCGGTTTCAATGCCAATATTTCAGATAAACGTTCAAATGCATGTAAATATGTCGACTCGGATAAAAATTGTAAAGATTAAACCTGCACGAGAGCTATATTCAACAGCGTGGTAGTTGCTCGTGCCAACTGTTACTACAAAAATAGTAAAATATTTTATATTGTTTGCTCTCTACACGGATTTATCGGCAAATTATATCTTTTTCGAAATCGCGCGACTTGAAAGTAGAAATGCAACAATTGCAATAAATTGTGGACGCCACAGTTGCTTGTATCAATTGCATCGGAATGTAAAAAAGTATAATGTAATCATGAATAATATTTGCCATTATATTAAATCTAACGTAGCTTCTCGTGGGTTTCGTTGGAAACGCGAAACCAATTAATTAATTCCGACAACTTCGTGTCGGTTTTAATAAAGTTGCGAAGGAAACGTTTTCAGTATTATTAAAGGAAGCTGTGGATCGTTTAAAGGGATGCTAAAGAGAAACAATTTTCATTCAACCACGTTAAAAGACATCTAGTACAAAATGGTTTCATGCGTGTTGCAAAACGAGAACATTTAAATTTAGGTTTGATTCTAATGCTATTTCGATGCAAACATCGGCAAAATAAGATAAAATTTTCTCCAATTTGGATATAAATAGAAAAAAATAGAATCTCAAGAAGCGAACTTAAATTGCTTGCTAAGCACTATCGATTTTTTTGTCTGACTTGATTGCGACATATTGATTTATTTCTCATCTATTTTGAGAATTTGGAATATCTTTGAGAAAAATATATCTTGATAGTAGGTTAGATCGCACGAAAAGGTTTGAGGGAATTTCAAATCAGAATTTTAAATCATCCTTAAAGCAATTTATTAACAATATTTGCATTGTGGAAGCTTGATTTCAACTTAACAATTCAGCAATATTAATTGCACACTTTCTGCACTTGTAAGAACACCAATTATTACAGGTTCTCGCAAGCAGAATTAATCTCGCGTTTGCCGTTATTCGTAAGAGATTTACAAGTAATTACTACGAGGAAACCCGCGCGAACTTACTGGAATGAAACTCTCATCAACTATATATATATATATATTATGTGTATGTATATATACATACATATATATGTATATATATATGTATATATATGTATATATATATGTATATATACGTGTGTACATACTTGCATCTAACGACAAGCTATGAAGTCTCCAACTAACTTCGCCGTTCCCCCTTGTCCTCCCGCATACGCGTGCGGAGTCATTGAAATTAGGTTCCGCGTTTGAGAACTAATAGAAACGACGAACGTCGTGACCGTCGAAAAACGGAAATGATCATAACTTTGATTAAATCGCACAAACAAGCAAATATAATATATTATCATTATGAGATATATTAACTCGGAATTTCTGTCGTTGAATTAATCGCCTAATTTCGGCATTCAGCAAGATACCTAATGAGACACTCTGGTCGAACATCTCTAAAGTACCTCGTCTTCGTTATCCTTGTCGTCTCAGCGCGGCTGTTCATCGTCGCTGTTTTCTTTCGGGTCGGGAATGTGGAGCAAGGACGAAACACTTACGGGACCCTCCAGAGCTCGGTCACTCAAATCTAGCCGATCCACTGTCATTCTCGTGTACAGATGGTTATCGCATTGACCCCGGACCCGCTCGCAAAATCACGCGCGTGTGTAAATAGCTCCGAAATAGCGGTCGAAACCCACCTTAATGTCCCGAGAGATCTCTCGGCGTCGGCGGTTATATCGTCCGCCTGAGTACGTACGCGGCGAAGCTTTTACTGGCCGGCGATCGTCCCGCTTTATTGCGTTAAGATAGTTTTTCAGATAATGTTATTTAAATCGTCGTGATACACGTCGTCGACAGACGTACACATATATTTTAGGACGAGCGAAACAGCTGCAGTTATAGAGGTACGAGAGGCGAGAGCAGCTTTTATGACGATTCACCGAGATTGCCGCGAAACGAGTTCTGCACGCTGACAACGACATCGTCAACGAGCCGTAGGTGAGCCGTTGAGAGACGGCGCTATTCGCTATCGTGCGAGCGGTACGAGCGAAGTCACGACTTTCGATTGCGGGAAGGAAAAGTCACAGGGATGCGGCGGTGGCCCGGCGGGGGGGGGGGGAGTAAGTGGAGTCGGACTTTACGGGGCGGGCCGTAAATCCCGCGGGGGCTCGACGTAGGGCCGGGAAAAGTGCTTCGCCGATAAACTAAACGATAAAGGCCGTAAACGCGCGTCGGCGTATAGCGGCGCGAGTAGTCGCCGCGTCGATGCGCTCCGCTCCGCTCGATGCGTGGTGCTCGCATTCGTGTGCCGCATACAAGCGGCAATAAACCGGATGCCCTTGTCGTGCCGGAGAAGGAAGAAGGATCCCTTGAATACGTCCCCCCCTATTTCTCTGCGATGCTCAGCGCGGCGCGTAAAAGCGCCGAAGAAATAAATCCTTCGGACACGTCTGCCCTTTTCTACCCCCGGGCTCTGGGGGATAAATCAGTCGAGATATTGTCCCATGCAAATCCCCGCCAGGTTGCTCGCCGTGGTGCTCTCTCTTTCTCTCTCTCTTTCTCTTTCCACTACATATACGTTCTCTACGTCTGCACGTCGCATCGTGGCACGCGAGCTTCTGAGATATGCACGTCAAGTGGCTGCACGGCGGGTGAGAGAGCACGGGACTGTAATACGCGCGGGCAATATCTTTCTACGCTCTCTCTCTCTCTCTCTCTCTCGCGCGCGCTTCCTCCACGGCTGCGCGATTCCCTGTCAGGATAATACCAAACTTATCGGAAGTAATACCGCAGCTATCGGAAGTACTACCGCAGCCATCGGAAGTAAATCGCGGCGGACGTACGCAGCGGATTTAGGGCAAACGTTTGCGGCGCACGGTGTGCCGAAAGCGTCGGTTAACCCTTTCAATATCGGGCTACTTTTGGCACCGCACTCGTGTGCCGCGTGTTTCCCATATAAATTGCAATGTCGCGAGAGCTAGTCGCGGGAGACATATAAACGGGAGAATTTTGCATTTAGCGGACTGGGCTCAAGTTTTAATTAGGTTTTTACACGGGCTTGCAAAGAAAAATAATTTTACGCATCGTGGCTCCTCTCTCTGCGACGTCTACCGCGAAAATTTCACGCAGCGACGCGACAGGGTTGTCGGGGACAAACGCGCGGAGGAACGTCCGGCGACCGATGTGACGCGGCGCGGAAACGTAAGTCCCTCGTAATCTCTGTGGAACTTATCAAAGGACTTCGTTACTGCGTGATGTAGCGCAATATCCGCGAGTTAAATTGTGGAAGTTACGGGAAAGCCTCCATATATACACGAATATGCATTACTCTCGGCCAAAGTCTACGGATGGTTGTACACGATAGCGATGTACGCGCGGATGGAAAGGGGAAGGAGGAGAGTAATATCTCTCTCGTTTTCGTTCTCTCTCTCTCTCTCTCTCTCTCCGCATTTCAACTTCGACTTCCACCGTGAAGACTTCCCATCGGAACAATGCGAGGGGGATAATGTCGGCGCCGAGATTAAAGAGCGAGATAGCGCGCGTAACGCACGATCGTAATAACTCGCGCACGCGCGCGCGGGCATTCAGTGTGTTCGCGAAATTTCTAGTGTAACGAGTTTCGCGATGTACAATAACAAAGCAGCCCGTGGGCGCATTACGCGTAATTAGCCGTGATGGGCAAGTAGCTGTGCGCGGCACGGTGTTTTCAAGTTCCCTCTAAATCGCGGAAGTCCGTTTGTACAGCCGCACGGTCGTCGAAATATCTGCCGATGTGTGATTCCGCATCAGTACACTGCCGGGCGCAATCCTGATTAAATTGTTTCTGCCTTGCTTATCATTGCACGTGTGATTTAATGCGGAGAATCCGATGATTGTATTATCAAGCAATTATTATCTCTACGAATTCCGATTCCGGCCCTTGTAACGTCGCTCCTCACGCTTTTGGATTATAACTTTGATTATTAGAATAGACGGAAGAAAAATTAATAAATTTTTTTACGAAATCTAAATATATATGGCGTCGACGAATCGAAAGTCAATTAAGAAATAATCAGATGAAAAAGAATTTCATAAATATTTTGACTTTTTAATTTCATTTCTACAACATGTGTACGGTTTTTCTAATAAACAGCTATTAATATTTATAGAAACGTTCGTCATTCGATCGGTGAACACGTGCAGTTCGCGAGAAAATAATAACGTGCAATTTATCAGAGAGATTGCAGCCAGACCAGTAAATGTCGATACATCTGTGCGGTCAACTTTCCAACGACCTGAAACGCTGCCAAGTTCTTCGACAAGGCGTAGAACGATAAATTATACATGCTGTCCCACCGCTGTATCCAATAGAAATCAGTTATCAATTATGAAATGCGATGCTACAAAACGTTTTCAATTTTTGCGTAAATACGCTGGACGCGCGAGTCGTAACTTTTAATACATGTTATCCGCTGGATAACGATAAGCTCGTTTGATAATTAATATGCATTACAAAATATCGGTTGATGAATAATTTGAATTCATCATGTAAATTTAATATTGCAGCATGAGCTCTCTTATTATCGTTTATTTTTATTTTGAATTTCTGTTTGATAACACGTGTTGTTGTATTTATAAGCAGCGCGATATTTTCTACTAATATAAAATTCCGCATTCGTATGGTTATTCGTATCTTTTTCCAGAAATAGCGTAGCACACGTACCACAAAAATTTTCCAGAATTTAATGAAAACGTTTACTTGACACAATATCGAGTAATACATTATACAACGTTTAAATCTACATTTTTAAATCACATCGCTCCTATTGTTTAATAGAATTTTTTTTACATGAATTATTTATTT